AAAAAAAAGCTGGATCGGGACATCCCTGGTTATCCATCACAGCTCTGATCCTGATGCTGCCAACAGGTTCAGCCTTTTGAAGCTCTCTGTGTTTAAAGGAAGCCACAGAGCTTGTCCTAGTTATGACCAGGGATGTCCCGATCCTTTTCTTTCTTCACTTCCGATCTGGTACCGATCCCGGCCTATCAGAGCATGTGTTAAAGTTTAAACAACTAACTAGCTGAATTAGGTGAAGTTTGAATAACACACAATGGTTGGTAAAGAGACACTGACCTGTTTATTCAGGGATAAACACAAGATGGACAAAATTATAAATAACAAATGGAAATGGCGTCAGTGAACAGTAAAAAGTGCAAATAATGTTGTAAACTATATTAAAAAGGCAAAACACACAAACAACCTGAATAGAAAATAGTCTATTAACTCAGCATCTTCCTCTTTTTTTTGTCCCTAAGGATAAAATAATCCTACACAACTTGACAATTTTACCGAGAGCTTCAAATTAACATAACCATCATAATGGTTAGGACACAGAGCTGTGGGTCAGGTGATGCTAATGCTAATGGCTGTGATGGAAAATTACCAGACTGGATATAAGGGAATATTAGGGTATATCGGATCGAGCCTAGTTATGACACATTTTAAAGGTTAATTGCTTCCCTGCCATCTGTTGTTGATTCGTCTAACTCGCTTTTAATCACGTTCCAGAGGGCGGACAAAGGCCGAGAAAAGGACGAGAAAGGGGCGGACAAACAGCACCTCTCCAGAAGGTCAGTGACTGTTTTTAAGATGCATGTAACCTGTGGGGATCACTCCGGGATTTGCCCTTTTAACAGCAGCCGTGTCCTCAACACAGATTTATTTTAAAATAAGAGAAATCTGCTTTTGGACGAGTGAACGTCTGGGCTTCCTCAGCCTGGAGGAGCCGGTTTTTCTGGGTCATTTCCGGTGAAGTGAGACCCCAAAACTAATCCAGCAAAAGTAATTTAATCAGTTTATAACCTGTGTTGTGATATATTGCTTTTATTTGAAACGTGCTTGTGCGAAAACTGGATTAGTTTATTTGTTTAACTGCTTTAACTGTGGTGTAGTAGCACCGACTCAACCTCTGTGACACATAAAGTTTGAAAAGCATGACTTTTATTTTTATTGTCCATGATAAAAGCCATCAGCTAGGATGTAAATCGGAGATAAACGTCCTCCACCTCGCTGCATTTACAGAATAATTCATTATAGAGCAGGTTTCCCTTTACTACTACTACTATCTATTTCAATATAAGGTTTCAGGATCAGCTTTTTCTGTTTGTGAAACTTCAAAAAGCAGCAGAGTGTTTAACTAAAGCCATCATGGGGCTTTT